ATATCATATCATATCGCATAATTCATCATCAAATCGTCTTATGCTTTTAAATCATATGCTAAAAAAAACATGTCATATCCGAATCTATCATATCTGATTATTCTTTTTAAATATTTTTCATGTTTTTGCAAGGGTATTTCATCTGCGGCTCTCCAAAATGGAAACTCTTCTTGTGATAATTACTTTGGCTCGTAGTTTGTTTTGTTTATTTGTTGGTTCGGTTCGCTTTGGTTTTACATCTGTTATGCAATGCTCTAGACACTGTTTTTTTTTTTTTTTTTGGCTTTGGTTGCGGTTTCGGTTTTTGGCTTTCATTATTTTTATTTCTTTATATATATATTTTTTTTTGCTTTTTTTATACTTAGTTTTTTTCGCATTGCTGTTCTTTAACGGCGGAGGAGCAAAGCGTGGCCGTTGGCTTATAATTATATTTAATTGTTGTTGCCTGACCTTGAGCCGTTTGTGTTTCGCTTCTTACAACAACATTCACCTACAATGTTAGCAATGCTAACGGTATCTGCACGTTATGGCCATAGTACGCGTTTATCATGAACCGTTTCGAGCAGTTGACAGTTCTTTAAACTGAGAGCCTTTTGCGGTTTATTGACCGCAACACAGAGGTAATTTATTATTATTATTATATATTATATTATTTATTTATTTAGATTAAAATGAAGATCGAGTTGGAATAGGAACCAGGAAAAGAAGAGCCCAAAACAACGAAAGGGGCAAACTGACTAGCGGGTCGCTGATTCAAATTCTCTACTCTAATTATATAAAACCCAAAAAAAACGGGCAAACGTCAAACTAGCAAGTACGAGGTCATTTAAATAAACACCAACTAAACCACCAACAAAACGTCGAATTTTAATTTGATTATTCAATATGTTAAAGGCGAATGCCTGAGCGCGTGGTAAGAATTAAAGAGACATTTTTTCTATCCAAAGCATGCCTGGATGGCACAAGCACTTACCGTACTATTAAATTGTTAACATTATTAATTTGGACATAGGTTAATATTAGATTTAATTACAATACTTAGACTAAACTTATAATATGTTTGTATACAAATCAAATCAATCAATTTAGTGGATCCACTCTTAATAAAAAAAAGAAAAAAAAAACTGATTTGAACCGAGTTTATATTTACACAAAAGCGAACCAGGCACCGGACTAAAAAGGTTATTCAAAAATTTAGCCAAACTTTAATTGGGTTAGAAAATATTTTTCTCAACAAATGATTTGGTTCCTCGAACTTGTTGAAGGAAGAATAAACATGGTAATTGAAAGCAAAAATTGCGACATGTAATAATCAAATTTTGAGATAAAAGAACGTTCGATAAAGAAAACATATCTTTATCCATCACAAGCTCTTTGTAAAATTCACTCGAATTCTGAAAAGAAGCATCAATTATTTGCTTACCTTATTTTGGACCTATTCCAAGACAGCTTTTCTATCTGCGACTTTGGCGTTTATTCGATTTATGCACAATTTCAGCTGCCCAAAAACTGACCTGGTCCAAGCTTGATGCGCCCAAAATGTTAATGGCCTTAATAACAGTTAACACACACACGCACACACTCAGGCTGCACGCACTTTGACCAACTGACATGAAAAGACTTGGCCCATTTTTTTTTGGTGTGGTGTGTTTAACAAATCCTCTATAAAAGTTGACGAGCCGTGCCCGAAATAAAGACAAAACGTTAACAAAACGCTTGGACGTAGGCTGCGTTATTTTTTTTTCACTCGCACTTTTCGAATCCGACGAACCCGAATTTTTAATGCCTTTTTGCTGTGGTATTGCGCGATTTTGTTATGCCCCGATATTTTCTACACCATTTATGCCATTTAACTGTCTGGCTTGCTTTACATGTTGCACGTCTGTTAAAACTTTTGTTAGTTTTCCGTCTTTTTTTTTTTTGGAAGCCCGAAAAATCACTCAAGTGCAACTTGCCAAATAGAATCAGCGGCCGGGCCGCAAAGCGTATATGTTGTTGGCGCTAGCGATTGCCTAACATTACATAAGAGCCCTCCTTTATGAACTGTCTAGCTCGAATTCCGAATGGCTTATACTCAGGTTCCGATGTGTCGGACGGCTGTTGCCTGGTTTGCAGTTGGCCACGTTACGCGCAGGTGTGAAGCGAAGCGCGGCTGGCGCAAATCTTTATAGAGTTTCAGCCAGCCCAGGCCAGGCCAGGGCTTAGAAGCTGAGCCGAAGAGTCGACCACCATATGAAACCATGGGCAGATTGTTGTGAAAGAAGCTGCCAGCCTATCTGGCGACCTGGTCTGATCTTCAGAGTCCGCCCAGCTAACAGCTTTATCTGCATTTGCTGCTTTACTTTCGTTACGATTCGCCGTTAGTTGCCATTATACTCAGAGAAAAACGCTGTTCGAAGCGATCCTCAACATACTTAGCATGAGAATCTGGGGATTAAAATAATAAAAGTCTGAAAGCAAGAAAAAACTGTCTTATAGCAAGATATGTCCCTTAACGATTTCAAGTGCAGGTTATTTTAAAATAATTCTTAATTAAGTACATATCATTTATCCAAAAAACACATCTAAAAGGAAAATATCTGAAAATACTTATACTTAAAGTAAAAGTCTCAAAATGCTTATTACAAGAATTTGTAGGCCTAGAAAAAGCGTAAGATATTTTCAGACAAAACACAAACTTGCTTAATTGACAACTCTGTGTTTTGTATTAATTAATTCTTCAGTTAAAAGCAGCTTTTGAAGCAACAATTTCTTGGCATATATTGAGAAGGTTTGTATTTAATTGAGGCACAATATTCTCGACTTTTGCTCTGAGTGTATATTGCGAAGGTTTGAACTTAATTTAGGGTGAATATTCTTGATATTTTCTTTGAGTGCATATTGAGAAGGTTTGTGCTTAATTTACGCACAAAAATCTTGATATTTTCTCTGACTGCGTATTGAGAAGATTTGTACCTAATTTAAGCACAACATTTTTTGCTATTTTCTCTAAGTGCATGGCGGAAATGCAACAGGAACGGGTCTGAGCGTGTTGCATACCTGCTACTGCTGCAATTTCTACTGCTACTGTTGCTGCTGTTGCTGCTGCTGCTGTTGCTGCTGCTGCTGACCCATTACCTTTAGCGTCAAGGTCAACGGCACCTAACTGTAACTGGTGGCAGCGCACATTTAATTGGCCCGTGCAACATTGCAGCAGACGTTTACCAAGCGTGTCTGCGTTAAAATACAAATTACTAATTAGTTAGTTAACACTTAAACGTTAGTTAATTAAACGCTCTGCTTTTGGCCCTACTCGTGGTAAGTTGTGAAAGGCGCTCACTCCAAGCCTGACCCTGACTGCGGGGCAAGGGCAGCCCAGCCACTGTGACCAGGCCGAAACTGACCCAATTCATGCGCCATAATATGCACTCGATGATTGATCATCATTTAATTGAATCTTTACAGCATGAAATACTTTAAAGATGGGCCAAGGAAATATACGCTTGCTTGTGCAAGAGGCAGAAGGAGGGCAGCATATTTTATAAAGTATATATTTTGAGATATTTTCCCTTAGTCAAAACTCGAAGATTAACATTAAAAGCTCTTTTAATCCTTGAGTTTTGATTAAGGAAATAGAGTTTGCAAATATTTCATATTTTCACTGACTCCCACAATTAAAAGCAATCAAAAAGCGTAGAACCTAGCGTTTTCACATGAGCACACTTTCAATGCCATATTCAATACATAAAAATGTCATAATCGGACAATAAGCACCGAAGTTTATTAAGATTTATGCGTGTGCAGCGAGAAGAAGAAGCCGCTGCGTAAAGTCCAAATAGTGCAAATATCTTTGTTTGGAGCGACTTGGCGTTGGGCTAAAGGTATCTTCTAGTCGGCCACTCTCTGTTATTTTGTGTTTATCTTAATTATTATTGTGACCATCTGAGCATCCGCTGATTGATGAATTGGGATGCCTGACCAATGCATTTCCTTTAAAAATTGTATAATAATGGTATTATGGGTAAATGTGAATGCTGTAGTATTTTTGTCGGCAGCCTGGCGCTGTGCTTAGGGTATCTCCTAGTCGTGCACTTCCGACTGATGCACTCCTGTCTGATTGATAAATATGAAGCATGATGTATTCCTGGCTGCGGCCTGACTCTGTTTCGAGGTTAGCTCCCAGTCGCGCACTCCTCCTCGATTGATTTATTGTAAACATGAGGTCCCGCTTAAGATTGTAGCATTATCATTTTTATTGGGTTTTTTATTTATATAGTTAATTAATTAATTCATATATTTTTTTCACATTTTTCTCATACTTGCTTTCATACTCATCAACATGATCGGGCATGTTTTTAATACATTTTACATAAAGGTTAGGCATACACAAATACATACACATAAATTTCTTTTGTTTTTTGCTAACAAAAATCATAAACACAAAAATTCATTCGGAAGCGTTAAAACTAAATTCAGAATTGTTCGAACTACTCGATGCTTATTTTAGGCGAATCGCATTTTTTAGAGTTTAGCTTTTAGAGTACAAATAAATAATCAGAGTGTTTAAATAATTAATTGTTAAGGCTACATTAGTAAAATGTTTTAATTTATACAATTTCTTCTTTTTTTTTTGTAAGTTTTTGTAAACTTTTGTCATTTTTTGTTCTTGTTTTTTGCATATTCATTTTGTAAACTTTTTATTGCATTTTTTGGTATTTTTTTTTTTTTGTTTTTTCTTTTTTCTTGCAGTGTAAATTGAAACTGTGAACATTAAAAACTACGCATTTACACGGCATTTAAACTTTTTTTGCTTGTTTTTCTTTTTACACAATTCTAATTTTTATGTTATTTTTGCTTTTTATTTAAATGTTTCTTTTTTAGTTGCTAAAATTTTGATATTTTTGTGGCTTTGTTTTTGCTTTTAATTGTTTTTTTTTTTTTTTTGTTGTTTTGGTATTTTTTGTGTTCTCTTTTTTTTGGCAATTTAAAATACTAATTAAAATTTTTGCGCCTTTTTTTGCTTTTTTATTATTTTTTTTTTTGCCATGATTGTGTGAATAATTTTTGCCGCCCCCGAAGAGAACCTGTTTGCCTGTGGGGAGGGGACTGGTTGAGGGGGCGGGGGCGTGGTGCCGCCCACTAGCAGCACTTGCGATTGTTGTTGGCGCCGCTGAGCAGCTTGCAGTGCTGCATGTCGGAGCGACGCGGCCGCTGACCCTTGGCCTGAAAGTCGCGCACCTTGTTGGCGCGCTTCATGGCGCTGCGGCAGAGCTGCTGATGCTGCTGCTTGCCGAGGCTCTGCATGGGAGAGAGAGAGAAAGAGTTCGAGATTAGGTAGGGGCTTCTACCGAGTACAGATTTGGGGCTACTCACCTTCTGGCTTTGACGAGCCAGCGTCTGCTGCTTCAACTTCTCCGCCGCATGGCGATCGAAGTATGCGTTGTGGTTGCGCGGCGCCTGCTGCTGCTGCTGCTGGACCACAGCTGCCACCGGAGCTGGAGCCGGCTCCGGCTCTGGTTCGGGCTGCGGCAGCTCCGCTGAGCCGAGATCAAGATTAACAAAACTTTCGGTGCCCGCCAGGCTGCTTCTAATACTATGATAAACCGACATGCTGTAGCAGAATAAAAAGAATTTCTTTTAGTACAAAAATATCACGTATACGGCGTGGGGTGCGTGCAGTTTTTTGGGGTGGGGTACAACAAAGATCACCAACCTTGGATGCTCAATCAATAGATTCTCAAAGGGTGATGCTTCCATATTGATTGGCCCAATCGAGGTGAAGCATGGTGGCGGTGTTACGTACCAGGACTCCTCCATCAGCACGCCCGAGCCCAGACCCTTGCCGCTGCCTCCGCTCCCGCCGCTGCTCTCGCTGCCGCTGGGTGAGATTGCGGCGGAGGCGACCACGACGGGCGCATACAGCGACTGGCTGACCGCATTGTCGCTGTCGGGCACACTTCGGGGCGGGCTTAGGGTCGAGATGCTCAGCGTGCGTGCAGCACGCGTGCGCTGCAAATGATTGCGCTGCTGCTGCGGCCGCGGTCCGCTGTACAAGGAATGCGAATTGATGTGCTGGCGCCGGCGCGTCGTAGCAGCTGCGTTGGCAGCTGCAGCGCTACCGCTCGGCGCCGCCTTCGACACAGAGAGCTCCTCCTCGGAGTCGCTGCGCGGCAGCGAATCGTCCTCCTCGTCTGCAAAACACAACATGAGCATTAATATACTGGAGATATTCATTCAAAAGAGGTTCGATCTGTTCGAGCAGCTGCAACATATTCGAGCTAACGGCTTGAGACAACACAAGTATGTACGTTTTGCTCGAACACAGTCAGAGTGAGTGCAATTGGGTCTAGCTTATTTTTTCGATTGAATCTCAATTTGTGTGCAACTCGAACAGTTCGAGCTAAAGGTGTTCGAGTATCCGAAACGACTACTCACCTTCTTTTTCGACAATATACCATTCGTCCTCGTTGAAGTCGTCCTCGATGACGCACTCGCCGTTGGGTGTTAGTAGCTTCGTTAGAGTCGCCGGCTGCTTGCGTTGTCCGCCCTGCTGCTGCTGCTGCTGCTGCTGCTGTTGGTTCTGCTGGTGTCGCTGCCTGCCACGCCTATTCTTGGCGCCGCCTCGCTTACCGTTGCTCAAACGGACAGTACCACGATTGTTGCCCGCTACCGAAGGGGTCGTTGAAGTTACCTCAATTACATCGCCGACCGGCTGATCGTTGGCCGTATCGTTGGGGTTGGCGTTGTTCTGGACAGGATTCGCTTGGCTATTGGTTGACTCAGACGTTGGCTGCGCTCCAAATAGAAACGTTGCGAGACTGCTAAACATTATACAAAGCGAGTGGAGCTGGCCTGGCCTGGTCGTCTGCTGGCTGTGATTGAGTGCTTGATTGATTGTTTGATTGTTTGATTGCTTGATATTGCTTATCGGCTTGAGATCAATATGTTGTGCTTGCTAGAGATTGCTTATGGTGTTTTGTTCCTTAGTTTTGCTAATGGTTTTCTTTTTTTTAATTTGTGTTTTGTTTTTTATTTTGTTGCTCAGTCTTTTATTCCTTTGAACGCTGCGTATTTTTGCTGCGTTCCGTTTTGTCTTGTCTAAAAGAAACAGAAAAAAAACACGTTTTATTAATTAATTAACAAATTACGTAATCCACACACACACACACCCACAAACACACGCACACCCTGTTTTAATCGGCTCAACGTTTCGGCTACTTGATATTTATTGAATTCCATTTTCCATTGAGCTGGCAATTTAATTTGGCTCGATTTCAATTGAATTAAGTTTTGCCAATGCGAAAGTGAAATTGAAATTCGAAATAGAAATTACATTTGCGCGCAGCATCTACATCAGTTGGCAATTACTTTGATTACACTAATTACTTTTTGCTGCTGCTGTAGAAAAATAATAATACAAAAAATACCCTATGAAATGGGAGGAATTATATGGGGTATATTGCTGCTCAAATATATCATGTGCTTATTGGTAAAACACATGCATTTGATTGCGCAGCGTAGTGGGAATTTATAGTATTTATTTCTTGGATGCCTCCCCCCATTTTCAGGCCAGGCCAGATATAATATCTAGATACTCTACACTTTCTCTAATGGAATATAGCCTGACTGTGAATATTTCTACCTCCCCTCACCTACATTTAAGAGTCAGGAGTTGTTCACAGAGCATCTGCTAGTCGGGCAGTCTTTAATTGCCTTACGATTGACCTGGCATCGAACAGTTTGACAGGCACTGTGTGCTGACAGCTATATTTTGCCTATATAGTATGTCATAAAGCGACGCTGCACAGCCCATTAAGTTGCCAACTTGATAGCTGGGATGCAGCCCCTGCCCCCGCCCCGTCCCCGTCTCTGTCTCCGTCCCAGGCCTCGCCTCAGCTGTGCATGCGGCGAGCATATGATCAAGGCAATTATATATGCTGCTATATAAGCGCACACACACATATGCGCACATGCATAACATTTAAATTGAGCGCACGTCATGACAAATGCATGAAAGTATCTCTATCTCTCAATTTGTATCTGTATCTATGCACACTGTAAATGTATCTCGAGCTGGGTTTTTGAGTTGTATACGCTTGGAAAGGGTATTAAATGTGTTATACTATGAAGGAGATATATTCGTTCCCATAAATAGCTTAAGTATATATATATATATATATTCTTGATCAGCATCAACAGCCGAGTTGATAAAGCAAAGTTCATCTGTTCGTGTGTCTATTTCTATGCCAAGTATTCTTACAGTACGCAAAATATTATGATGAAACTCTCAACAGTTTTGTCAATCTGTTACAGACGGTATATGAGTATATCCGAACCGAATGGATCGGGCCACTATATCATATAGATTCCATAGAAAAAATAGGTTTTTGTTTTTGTATAACCAACTTTTTCGTATCTCGAGATATCTTGGCCAAGCTGGAAACTGTACAATTATCGACTAAAGCCGCACAAAATCGGAGTAAATATTTAAATCTATAGCCAAGATCTTTTTCTCTTTCAAGCTATTCAAAGCAAGCCTAACTCTTGCGAGCTTCACACAATACCTCCCACAAAACTGCCAAGTCGTTAGCCAATTGTCTGGCAGAGTATTCAGTCTGCGGCATTCGAAAACCTCTCCCTCATTCTTGTTTATTTTTCTGTTGCTTCTTAGCTGCCACTTTGCCATTTGAATTGCTCTCGAAACGTTTCTGTTTCCAGCTCGAAATGATAATCAAAACTGTGCCAATGGGCAAATGCAAATGCAAAACGATGGCTCCAGTTTATTGCGATTGTCTGTGAAACTGTGACTGTGGAAGCCGTCAAATAAATACAGACGGAGTGACACGATTATCATGGCCAAAACAAAGCGAGACTCAACACAAATCCAATTGCACTCGGCTGCAATTTGCAACTTGACCGCAAAACGAAGCACACGAAGCAGCTAAATTAACCAACTAACTGCCGCAGCGCCGCCATCTCCCCTAGGCTCTAGGGTTTGCCGTGCGGGCAAGTGAAATCCGCATAAAAATAAACAAGCCTTAGTTCCGTTACTAAGCTTAGTCGGAGTCGGGCTCAGAGCTCGCAAACGTGCGACAATTTGCACAGTCAAATGTCAGCGAAAGTTGACCAAAAGGATTTGATTGACGCAGAGGCAAATGTTTGAAAATAGGCAAGGCAATAATATAGTATATATCTGATATAGCATATCTAATATGTATATGATTTTGATATATGTATCTATTACCAACGAGTAGCTCAGTAGATCAAGTTATCTCAACCTTTAAAGTAGGATTCTATTTTGAACCTTGAACCGAACCAATTACAAATTTGCAGCCCTGTCTATATATGTACCAGAGAAAACTGTTATATCATACTCTTAACTAAGTCAGCTTTGCATTGCATAGAGCTAATATCATCAGCTATGGCTATGGTAGTCTACAGTCTCAGTCGTAAGTATTTGCTTGGCTAGAAACTTGTGCCCAAGTAGAAATTCACATGTAAGTCTTGGTATTATATCCTTATATACTAGATATTATTATATAACTGTTATTATATTATTATTATTATACCCGCACAAATCAATTGTTTTAAACAGGCATATTGCAAATATGCATTCTATATATATTAAATATGCAGGCATATATATATATAATATAATGGCATTTCGGCAGCTGCATTTCGTGCTGGCATATTAATTTCGAACACGTTCCAAATCAAACTGCGTCTCAAACATTGGCTTTTACTTTTGTTTTGACATAAACGAAGTAAATAAAACAATTGATAAGACCCTGTGGGGTGTGAGGTAAACAAAGGCAATGACTGCAGGCGCACAATTAAGTATATAAATATATATATATTTATATATATATATAGAGCACTCTTACTTGTTTTGAATAATAAGATTTGAAATATGCAAATAAGAAATTTGAGTCGAATTTGAACCAGCCACCGCCCGCTTGTTAGTTCAACGCGCCCTCACTCTTGAATCAAAAGCTGCAGTAAATATTTCCCAGCTCCTATTAGTCAATCAGTCGACGCAAACTATTTGATATATATATATAGCTGTATATACTATATATATATATTCCTAATTTTCACTTTTGTCAGCTGTGTCTGTTTTGCAGAGACGTAACCTTGACCATGTAAATGATTTGCCAGCGCATGACATCAAAATGCCAATTGTCTTGGCTTTACTAAGACTAAGACTATATATATATATATACTCTATATATATATATGTAGCCCATATAGATACAGTATCTAGCGTTTATTTTAGCTGTCATTTGTTGCTTTGCAACGACCTTGATCGATGAGTGCCCGCTTATATAAGTCTTAATACATGTATCTGGATGTCTATATTGTATCTATATATCGGAATGGGAATCATATAAGTCTTTATACATGTATCTATATGTCTATAATGTATCTATGTATCGGAAACTGCCCATTTTGCAAGCATTATTAACAGCCTAGCAAACTGTGCACTCTTTGGCTTTTGTTGATAAGTTTTTGTTAGTTCATTTTGCAAACTCATTTCGACATGATAAGGCCACGAGCCAGACAAACTGACGAGACAGCAACAAGAACTAAATTCTAAAAAATATATTATTATATATTATAATAATAAATAGGCATGTGTTATAGCTAAAGTCTGGCGTGTGCACAGTCGAAAGTTCAGCCAATGATTAACTCTCGGGGGAGGCTGTGCATGCAAATGGGGCTGAGGCTGGGGCTGGGGCTGATTTCTAGTCTAATGAACTTGAACTAATTGACTGTGGCTGGGGTAATACGTAATAGCAGGCGATTGACTGATTGTACAAATAGCTGAAATACACTCAGAGAAAAGCAGAGAAATCTAAATCTAAAAAGAGAAAACAATTGAGTGTGGCTTGACTGAACTTTGACCACCTTCTTTGTAATTCAGTTCCTTATTTTCAGTCCCGCATGAAATAAGTTTTCACCACAAAAAAAAAAGCAAACCAAAAATCCCCCTTTCTCAGTTTCTTTTGATTTACGTTAGGCATGGCTCTAAAATGGCTATTTCGACAGCAAATTAAATTGAATTATCAATTGGCCAACGCAGCCACGATAGGCAAACAAAGCGTTATACTAGATGCATTAAGTATCTAAAGCTTTTCAGGTACATTGCGCCCACACATAAAAAACGAAGAAAAAAAAAACAAAGCTAGACGCGTATCAGTTAACGTATCTAACAAGCTTAAAGCTTTGAGCTCTTTGTTTAATTTATATATATATACATATATATAATCCGATTTTTATGACGGTTCAAACTGCAATTAGAAAACTGCAAAAAAAAAGAGGCAACCGCAAGGCGCATAATAATAATTAGAATTATGCAATAAGTGCGCGCACAGAGACGACGCTGACGTCATCCGCGACCTTGGGCTATACCAAAAAAAAAAAAAAAAATATTTAAAAAAAATGTAAATAGAAAATGCACTTAATTAGCACGGTGGGTGGGCTGCTGCAACTGGCATCAGCTGTTCGCTCACCTGGTTAGTGAAGAGTAGCACTTTTTTTTGGTCTAAATTTAGCCGCGGTTTGAGATTTAAAGCTTGTTGCTGCGAATCAAACGAATAGCCAAAAAAGATCCAGATGCACAGAGAGAGATACACAGATACAAATACGGGTACGGATACGATGGGGCAACAGCAACTGCAGATACTGCAAAGTCGACACTCGTTTGCCAACTGAAAGCCACAGCGCGCTGAACGGAAGCGTATTTGAATTTCAAAAGAACAAAAGCTACAATTGCGTGTGTGTGCCGTGTGTGTGTGTGTGTGTGTGTGTGCGAGAGTGTACAAGCTGTAAATGGCTGTGTATTTGTAGCTGTATCTGTATCTGCGTTCGCCCAGCTGCAGCTTAGTTCAAATTTATTTTTTTTCTGTTTTCTTTTTTGGCTTTACACAATTTATCAACACTTTGGCTTTATCTTAAGCATCATTTTTATCTTAACCGTTGCATTAGCTATTTACCTAAGTATGTGTGTGTGCCTGCCTGTGTGTACGTGTGTGTACGTATGTGTCTCACTTTTGTTTGCTGCACTTTGCCTGTGCGCTTCGTCGCGTTGCGTTTGCTTTCAAATATCAAAGGCGAATGTCAACGGGACAGCAGCAGCAGCAGCTGCTGCTGCTCAGCACCAGTTCAAGCCGCGCTGCCGCTGCGCTGCTGCGGCCAGGCAGAGAGCGAGCCAGAGAGGCAGAGCGGACGGGAGAGAGAGCGAGCGCGAGCGATCGTGCGAGCGTATCTAAGCACATAATTATGTATTTTTTTAAAACGCAAAAAAAGCGACGCCACAAAAACACACAAGCACACAAACACACACTTGGTGTCGGTTGCTGCGTCGCACAGTCGGGCGAGGGGCACCGTTTCAGCTGGTAAACAAAAGCACAGCACAGTCAAATTTATGCTACACGAGCGAGCAGCTGAGCAGCCGCCGATCATATGCGCAGCTCGTGTTATTTTGTTTACCAACAAATGGCGCGCTCTCACTCTAGCTCGCTCTCGCTCACTCACTCACGCTCTCTCTAATAATTGTGTCCACTCCCCTCTTCCCTCTCGCTCTGCAACCATACACTTGTGTATATTTCGTTTAGCTTTTGGCACTGCGCTCAGCGATCAGCTGCGCTGACGTTTGCGCACTGACACACTTTTTCGTGCCGCCCCGCCCCGACTGCTGCCCCACCTCCCTCCCGCAAACCGTATGCCGAGCAAGCGTTGTTAGTTTTGTGTATCTCGCAGATACTTTTCCTATAGCTGCCAGACCAAGTGGCTCAGCGTCTGTTGTTTGCTTTTGTAGTTTGTGACTAAGCACTTGGAGAGCACCACAAAAGAGCTGCCAAATGTAGTTGGCCGCGGTTTTTTATTTTATTTCTTCTGCTTGCTTTTCGCTGCGTCTGCTCAAAGTTCAATCTATATAGTTTTTTGTATAGACACAATCTAAAATGCCAAGTCACGGTTGGAACAAGTCGAGCAATCCATTAGAATTCGCATAAAAAAAACGTAGAGGAAGCGTAGAGCCAGACATCGACGGCATTTTAATTAACTGGCCCATATATATATGTGTGTATATGGCCAATATATAAATTTAACAATAGATTTATTTCGCAAAAGTTATGCGACTAACAATCAAATGCTTGACTGTACCCGGCTTGCAGAGACTTGTGTAGCTATACACTTATTACTTAATTAAGATTATAGCAATAAGATTGATATGTAAAGCAATAATAATAATATTTATATCTATATATAGGAAGAATGCGGGTTCGCATCTTAGACCAGTGCTGCTTGGCAAATGACATTGGGTTGGACAGCTCATCTATGAAGAACTGCATTTATATATATCACAATTATAATAATAGAAAAAGTAAATTTTTGTATACACATAAATTAAAAATAAATTAATTTAACTGAAATTCCGCTTGAATTCTCTTGAATTTATTTCTGCTTTAGCCCGCGTTATATAACTCTTTCGGCAGCCAGCATTAATAACAAAATATTTTCTATAAACAATCGAGCACTTTCATTATTAGAACAACAGCACCTAGCTCGCCTGCACAAAAGCTTTCACACATATATATATATATATATATATATATATATAGACATATATATATATTTGATAATATTATACATATATACATTGTATATATGTTGGCAGAAAGCTGCACAACCTCGCGGCCAGGTTCAAGGTTATCTTTTTTGCTCAGTGCAGCTCTTTTTGCTTTTTTTTAACAATTTTATTTTCTATATTTTTAGACATTTTATCATGCAACAGCTGACGAACGAAGAGGCCAACAAATTGGTTTGGCCAAAACGACAACAAGAGCGACAACTTGTGGCTATCAACAAGTAAAAGTGTTCTAGTCGAAAGTGACCGCCTGGCAGATACCCTTTACCCCACATACAAACACAAGAAAAACACAGACACACTGCGAGGCCTAGTCTCTATTAACCTCGACTTATATAGTCCGATGTGTCTGTATACGTAAGACTCTACTCATCACAATCTTCGTGGTATGCTTAGAAAACCGTTCTATAAAATTTGTATTTATCAATATAATGAAAAGAGAAGGAGTAGACATAAAACATAAACTATGATATGGGAAAATATTGTTCCATCAACTCAACCCCTTTTCCAGATCAGGAATATACACACTTACTGTCTTACACCCTGTCACATTGCTTTGCCCAAAACCCATATACCCTTTCAACCCATTTCTAATGGGTATAAAAAGTAGCTGACGCAAAAAGACAAGAGCGAGCGACAACAGATTGGGCTACAAAGCAACAGACGTATGTCTCGATACATATATATATATATATATATATATATATATCTGTGGATCTTGTGATTTTTCAGTTCGCACGCACGATAGTTGGTTATAAACAAAAAGCAAGAAATGTGCCACTGCGTAGAGAGAAATTGACTGATGTGTAAACAAACATTGGCGTCATTGCATAAAATGATATAAACAAATTATGTGAAAAGGTACGGCAACAAATATATGAAAAGGTATAAACAACACTTAAAACCAAAAGTCAACAATAACAGAATTTTTGGAATTTCTAATACGATATGTTGTTGTTGTTTTTTTCTCTATCTAATCATTCGGCTTGTTTACTGATAAACATATTGTTAGGCTGCGAGCTACAGTAGCTGCCCATAAATAATTGTTGGCATCTATGCGCCGAGTCTGACAGCAAATGTTTGCCCAATTTCCAAACAAATGCGGCTCATCAAAAGGGCAGATCCAGCGACGGCGGCAACTGCGCATAACTCAGTCCAAATCCCACTCAAATCGTGTGACCCCAAACCCAACCCACCCCGCCCAACCGTCCGAGCCGCCCACCAGCTGCGCTGCGGAGCATAGCTCCAGGCAAATGCGCAGTTTGACAAAAAAAAAAAGCGAACTTCAGCCTGATGCGACATCAAATCAAATGTCGCAATGACCCAGAAAGAAATACTCTCCGAAGTTCAAGCTGAAATTAAATGCGACAATTAGGAAAAAGTATTGAAAACATAGGAGAAATACAGTATAGAAGACTGAATACCCTCTCTTAAATATTAGAATATCATTTCCATAGAAGACTCATTACTCTGTCAAGCAGATGTACAGCAGCTGTACGACAACAATGATTTGGAGAGGAAGATTGAACACACCTTTTAAAATAAATAAGAGTCGATGTACAACTGATTGACTCCACTTGCAAGAAGATGTAAGCCAACTTTGGGAGAGTATAGAGATTGAATAGCAAATAAATGACAATTATGCAGAGAGAAGAAGATTGAACGCCCTATCTATATTACTTACATCAGTATAACAAATGATTGATTCCACTTTGAAGTACATGCACAGCAGATATAAGGCAATGTTGGGGGTCTAAAGCAAAGATTGAATAACCTCTAGTAGTTGTACATCGGTTGTATATAATTTCCCTGTCACCTATCTGTCGTACATCTGCTGTATATATGCGTCAAAGTGCAATCAATCATGTACATATGATGTACGAAAATTATTAAAGTATTGTGAATAATATAAATAAGTTTGATGTACAGCAGTCGGGCTTTATATTCCTATAATCCCACTGCGCATAGGGTATTATAAACATACTTTAGATTTAATAGTATCGATCCACTTTCTACACACACACCCACACACACACACACACACACACATGCTGGGGTTAATACTGCTCGTAAAAATCCAATTCAATTGCAAAGCTTTCGCCTGGGCATGACGCAAGCGTTGCGCCAGCTTTGATGTCGCCGTCCATGCCCGACACTTGTTCCGAGATTGAGTATTACGAATTCTGGACTGTGTGTGTGTGTGTGTATGTGTGTGTGCGGGGCAAGCCTTTGGCAAGTTGTTTGTGTGCTTGGGCTTATCAGGTGATCGCAGATAAATGCTCCCAGGCAGGTTTCGAATGCAGGCATTATATAGAAGTATATACTGGGAGTATTTAAAGATATATATATATATATATGTGTGTGTGTTGTCTGGCTTTACAGTCTAATAACTGACATTTAAATGCGTTTTTTTATTGAATAACAATATATATGCATATTTAATAACGCGTAATTTCAATTGATAATGCGTCGCAGTTCATATTTTTAGGCAATTCCTCTTCTTTTTTTTCTTTTTTGCCTGAGCGTCGCATTTATTTTATCACTTTGTTTATCAGCCCCCAAAAAAGCTCTCTGCTCTCTGCATATTTGCGCATGTTTATGTCCAAGTCAATGTCCATGTCTATGCTAGGGGGTTCGGCCAGTGGGTCACTCGTCAATCTATGGTAAACATTGCCAATCAATCAATCCGACTGTCACACAGCCGATTACATCAGGCTGTACGACATAGACTGCGACTGCGACTGAGGCAGCGACTGCGACTGCGACTGCGGCATCGTGACGAAGGCAATTTAAATATTCAGGCAACGTATTTCATTTGGCTGCCAATTAAAGGCCCCACGAGCAATGCCCTCTTAGTATATATACTACTTTATAAAATATATTCAAATATAGGATATATATTTCCTAGTAAATATACCATTATTTAGAATATATTTACATATAGCATATATATCCGTAGATGAATTGTCTTTGTGTAGCAGTTACAATTGTAATTATTGAACAATTAGCAGAGTAGCATATTGATTCGTTATATTTATCCTTAACTTATAGCTCATTGCCCTACTTAAGGATCTGCCCGGAAAACATAATATAGCTTAAAGCCTTGATATATTATATAAAATCTGTAAACTCAAATATCTATATAAAATCTAAAGCTTACCCAAAATTTAGCAATATTTGAACCCTTAACTTAGTGCTCTACTGCGTTACGTTAAGAACCTGTCGAGAAATAAAATGATATATCAAGAAATTGAAGCCTTTTTTCTGCAAATAATACTGTATGAATGTGGAATACTTATAATTTATATTATATTTTTCTATATATGTTTCAGATCTATATTATATCAAAAAGCCAGCTTCGCAACCTCCACTATTATCCCTTGTCAAGGTAACAGCTCCTCTAGCCCCGCTACTACCCCCCCCCCCCCTCAGTACCTGTTCCTTGACCCCTACCCTTGTAGCTGTAGGCTGTAACAGTTG